TGCTTGTGCGCAATGGGGGTTGGTGCTTCACATGCAGGCGGATTTTCGACTTACTTTTCAGTACTACTTATGTGCTGCACGAGGCCCACATTGGTATGGAGTCGGTTGTCTGAAAGCGCGGGGTAGCCTGCAAGCAAACACAAAGAAGAAAAATCTGCAAACTCAATTGCAGCAGCGACTTCCTGAACAATTCATGCTCCAATGGAAATCTCTGTCGTGGGGAGCGTGTAGAGACGTTAAAGCGTTCAACTTACACCGAACAAGGCGCGGCATCAGAAAACCAAAAAAGAGAGTTTCGTGTCTAGACCTGAAAATTGCCTTGTTGCATTAAATGGCTCAGCTGGAGGGGGGGAGGTACTTGAAATGTGTGTTTGGAACTTGGATTAAATGGCTTGGCAGGGGGGGGGACGTTAAATGGCTTGGATTCTTGGCGTTTTTTGGGAAGGTGTCCAAGTAGAGGTCTTAGCAAGACAGGAGGGCACGTCGAAAATGGCTCAAGCCATTTTCACATCCCCGCCCCTTAAAACATGGGCGATGTAATAACCCTTGGCCCTAAAGAGATCCTAGGATCATGCTGGGGCAACTGCATGATGCTTTGCGTGTTCAACCACCTCCCTGGTCCCGGACGGCCGCGTTCGGACGGATCGAGGTCCACTCTATCTGCAGACCGCCTCATTTGGGGGGGGTCAGGATTTAGGGTCAGGGTTCAAGATGTGGGGCTTGGGGCTAAGGATTCGGAATATTTGAAGCCCACAGGAGCCAGGGCTTCTCATAAGTACGAATCCCTGCCGAAGTGAAGATCCTCATCTTTTGCGGGGTATGAGTCCGGGTATGAGGGGGAAAAGCCGTCAGGCCCTTCACAAGCCTCTACCTTGGATACTGCGCCCACCCTACAACTGTGATAGCACCCCAACATGGTAATCGAATGTGTTCTGTGTAGGGATATGACGCCCCAAAATAGCGTCATATATGATTGCGACAGGGTGACGACCCATCCTAGACTTAGTTTCTGATTTTGCCTTGCACAGCGCGGCGATAGTTCCGCACCTGTTTATTTAATCAAATAGGAGCCGTTCCAACATTTCAGGGGTGCTTTGTTTTGCAGAGTACCCACAGCAAGGACCAGCATAAACCGCGGTGTTAAGGTTTTCCATGATTCTGGAAGCTCCAAGATGGGTTAGGCCGGGGTGAATTCTATGCTTCGGTGTTAGGATTCTGGGTTGAGACTCAGAGTGTGATGCCAGATTGATCAGTCCACTTGCGATCCATCAGCTGGGCACCCTTACTCTTACACAGATATGCTGCTTACAAACCTGGATGTTTCCGCAAGCGGTTCTTTATCGGATGCCGTTCTCACTGTCTGAGCAGCGTTTGCTGCTACCCGCTGGTACTGGTTATTGATGGGGTACCTTTACAAGGGTATATAGGGGTTTAGGGTTTCCTAAAATTTGCGTTGCTCACCACCCAACGACCCAATACCAGTCGGTTAAGCCTGCGTAGTATGCTATTTATATAAGGGCTTGAATCCTGCTATGGACAATGAGGAAGATTTGCAACCACACCGACCTCTCCGTGACTGCTGTTACGGTGTAGGATTTAGAGGGTGATTCTGCAGGGTTCTGGGCTATTCAAGTTCATGCAGGGGCTGTGGTATCCTTATGCCCTCTACATGCTTACATCCTGCAACTCCGAAGGTGCAATTTGCCATGGAAAAAAAGAAAATGAAGCCAGCAAAGCACATCCCAAAATGTACCCCTAAACCGTAAACCCGTAAACCCTGTTAGTTTGCATTTTCTTTTCCAGCAACCCCACATAATCCCAGGTTCTTACAAGCCTGACCCGACCTCAAAGACCACACTGGAGTCCCCTTTGCCCGGGCTCTCTGTGCCTGAATGCAGCAGCAGGTTGAGGGTCCCGGGATTAGGGTTTATGACTCTTTCATTTATGCGTAGTATTAGCTAATTGCTATTATTCGTTCTTGTTTTTCATTGTAAGTATTCTTAGTTTGTATCGTTAGTAGCTACTATCTCGTATGAACCATCCAGAGTTCAGATTTCGATTTTAGGAAGACGGCGTTGGAGTTCAGAGCCTGGGAATGCCCGTAAGCTTCTCATAAAGACCCTAAAACCTAAACCCTAAACCCGTGTTTGGGGACTGTCTGGGTTGCTGTGATGATGACCCCTTGAAAGCAGAACGGCTTCATCCATTCAGCTTCCTGCATTTCAGGGACATGCCTGCTGTTTGTTTCCGCGACCTAAAGGTTTAGGGTGTAGCTACAGTCCCCCTGAAGTAGGCAGAATATGGCTTTATACTGAAATAAGATCCCCATATGCCCCATACTCTATCTACTTAAGGGGGATTATAAATCCTGGGAAGCCACACCTTTGCAGTTTACACGGCAACGTTGACCTCATCAGGAATCCATAGAAATCCGAGAAACTTCTATTTGTTGTACACATAAACTTACTGGTTGTTAGTAGGGAGGATAAACCTTTGTATAATATGTTCTCTTATTGCCTACTATAACCCCCATACATACCCTACTGTAATGTAGTAGTATCCAGCTTCTATTCTATTATCCCTAGACAACCCCCATATATTTCCTTCCTTATTCCGTACTTTCTCCCAGTAAGTAAAGCCCTGCAGGAATCCCGAGCACTTGAAACACATAGATTTCTCAGCGCTGAAGGACTCGGGTTTAGGGTTTAAGGACTCAACAGGAAGTCCCCATATGGAAAGTTTCCCAAAATTGGGGGTACCTTTTTGGGATTCTCGTATCTTGGGGTCTATATTGGGGTCCGCCTATTTAGGGAAACGATCATATCTTTGCCCATAGTGCTTGGGAGTTGCCCTCTGATGCACAGATTTTGTGATACGAAACCATCAAAGAATGTAGATTATAGCTTTTAATACTGTCTCAATGAGGGACCAGCTAATATCCCTAAAGCGTTTTCCTGGAAACTCAGGTGCCAAACCACGAAGCCTATGCTCAGCGGCACGGGTACCGGTACGTTGTGCATAGAGAGAACGCTCTGCCGGATCGGGAGGCTCACTACAGCAAGATGTACGTCGTCTATCAGTGGCTTAGCTCTTGAAGTCTGGGTCAGTGTCAAGATACCCTTCTTAGTTATCATATCTTTTGAAACACAACTCAGTGGGGAAGTCAAATCCCAGTAAAGAAGCAGAAGGCAAAGTTCTCAAGCTATTCGGCATCTTGTCAGGTAGAAGGCGGTAAGAAGGACTGTCAGTAATGGCAGTGTAGGTAGCTCTGCAGTGTGAGTTCACGGCAGTTTACTGGGAGGGTCAGGGGGACTTAGCAAGCACACGTCAAACCCAGGTAAGCCATATAGTATCCCCAGTCATACCTGTTGTTAACCAAGGGACCAAGTCCCCTGATCCTCCAAGTAGAGAAGTGAGGCGGCTGACTGGGCAAAGAGCTCACTGGGCTTTCGACGCCAATAGACCAGAAGATGCGCCCCCAGACTGGATCTTTTTCATCGACTGCGATGCCTCCTGCCTGACCTTGAAGCAGAAGTGTGTTTCTTTACATTAAGCTGGGCGAAATCTCTAAAATATGGAGTTGTGCATTTAAAAAGATACGTGAGGCCTTCTTCACCGATTTCGAAACATCCGTTTCTGACCTGATAAACACATATGCGCAGCCTGTGCCTGGCAGCGTCGACTTCGCGCATTTCTTGGTAGCAGAAGACCCTGGTGGGATTAATACTGGGGTCTTCATGGTGCGAAACTCCGCTTGGTCCCTGCGATTTCTTGAGCGCGTGGCAAGCAGCACGTTTACTGTCGCATGGGAGACTTGACTCAAATGAGAGGGTGATGGGTTCTATAGGGAAATATAGGTATAAAATCCCAAAATTGTGTGATATGTTGGCGGATTTTGTGACCTCCAGTTTGAGGGACATACAACCTGGTGCTGATGCCAACTGAGTAGTAGTTTATTTGGGGATACTATGGTACCCATTATAGAGTAAGATTTCATCCTCCCTTTGGGGTATAGTATTTTCTATAAGGAATACAATCTTATTAGGTTCAACCACCAAAAAAACGCTACTCAATCTTGGATTGGTGGTAGAAGTTGTTCCGTGCACTCCTCTTGGGCTTGCCTCAACCCAGGAACGGTTTGTAAGAATCGTGTTCTTATAGTATATGGGAGTTTCCCAAAATTAGGGGTACCATTCTGGAGGTCCCTAGAATAAGGATTATAGTATATTGGGGTCTATATTGGGGTCCCCTTGTATGGGGAGACTACCATATATCTGTATATATGGGGCTCCCAATGTTATCTCTATTACAGACTGCATTACCCAACTCCTATCGCACAAAGGCATTTACAAACGTCGAGCAGGTGAATCCTGCTTGGCTAGCCATGAAAGGCCAGCCAGCAACGGGTCTTGAACATGCGTTTTCCACACGAGGGTTTTGGGGAATCCAGTTTTCAGTCAGCAAGTTGCCTAGGGGTGTTCTGATTCCTATGGGTGTCCTGAAAATGGTTTTGTGTTTTACTTTTCCCCTTTTATGAAGCTTCAACAAGCCGCCAGAATTTCTTTGGAGGCAGTGTTACCGAGCAGATACAGCTCCATAGCCTCTCAAAAACTCAATTATCATTCGCGAGACCCTTAAACAAGTTGAGCTTAAACTGGGTTGCTGTTAACAACGAAGAAATTACCATAATATGGGTATATAGCAAAGAACAGGGCTTCCTTACAAAAGTAGCATAATGAAAGTTCCTTAGTAGCAACCCAGTAAATTGAACTCCTGAATAGACAACTTGGCGCAAACTCTACTCCCCTAGCATTGACACCCCGACCCCCTAGGAGATTTTGATTCTTAGGGAGGGAGCTATTACTAGGGGAGGGAAGGTATCACCTGAGCCATTGTCTAAACTCCTAGTATCCTTCATAACCCCATATAATAGTCCCCTATATAATCTCCTATATATCCCCCTTTAAAGAGTTTAGATTATAGTACGCCTAGGATCAGTCAATGTTCTTCTGGCACATGGTTCGCGCAGCCCTGGAAATGAATCTGGAAGACTTCAGCTACTCGAGCTCGAAGCTTCAGACGCTGTCAGGCACGTTAACTGCTCAGAGTTGAAAGACTTACGGTGCGGAATTATAGCCCCCCTTAAGTAGATAGCACCCGGGGTATATTATGGGACTCTTATCATAATAGACCTAAAGCCATATTCTATCTACTTAAGGGAGACCATAACCTTAAACCCTGAACCTTCAACCCTAAACCCTAAACCCGAAATTCTATCTACCCTAAACCGGAGAGTCAGTTCCTGCGTGCTGCCATGAACTGTTTGGCTCTGTTTGTCGATAAGGGCCCCCGCCTCCTGCCCACTCTCCATAATCTTACTGGGGGTTTACGGTTTAGGGAATAAGGGAATATCTTCTACAGGAATTGAAATTGAAAATACAATAGGGGTTATCTTCCATGTAGTAATGCTTAGTCAGCGGAAGTCTGGCCGGCTTTCTTTTTCCTGCACGTGCTCCTCACTTCAAGTTCAAAGTATTTGGGATAGGATGGTTGAGAAAATTGGCTGTGCTACGATTTGGGATCTACATCTACCGTCTACCCCGCCCCAGAAGGAATCATTGGACATGTTAATGAACCAAGCTTTTGAGGGGGGGAGGGGAGCGGTGGCTCGGGCATTTACTTTTTACAGCGCTGTTCAATGGGCATTTGTCATACTGACCATCTACATATAATCCCAACTAGGAACCCTACATCCCTATAGGCCTGATATGGTAATTTCCATGGATTGGGGCCAAAGAGAACGCTAATTTCATCTCCTCAACTAAACCCTAAGACCCTAAACTCTAAACCCTCATGGGTCTCTGGGGTCCCAAGTGAAAGCTAAGAGGAGTTGGTTCAGCGGACCCTGAAAAGGTCCGATTAGGACCTTGCGTTCAGGTTTAGGGTTGTTTTTGAAAATCTAGGAGTATAAACACTTAGCAACAGTGTGGTTCTAGATTCCTTGTGCAGTTCGGGCATAGGCCCCCTCAAACAGACCTCAAACTCAGATTAGAAGTAATCATGCAGGCCTCTACGTTACCATGCTTTCAAAAGTACAATCTACTTTGGGGTCATGCAAGATTTTCCATATGAAGTGTCTCCTAACATATACTCCCGCCTACCCCAGAACATTGGGAAATTGGAGTGGTGCAGCGAGGGGGTTGCGGTGCAAGGTGAACTTAAAACCTTCAATCCAGACCTTCGAGCCCGAAGCGCCCCCAAAAAGTACACGGCATGTAAGGGCAGAGCATGGATAAAGACTGACAAGTGAATAGTATTTTATTTACGGATACTTTGGTACCCAATATAGAGTAAGATTATATCCTCCTTTTGGGGTATAGTATTATATATGAGGAATATAATCTTACTGGGTTTAACCACCAAAAAAACACTACTGAAGTGAAGGGTCCCTGTTGTTAAGTTGAGCTCTTAAAGCAAGAAGGCAGCTCTTGAGCCGTATACCGACCTAGTAAACGCCTCATCTAGCAATGCCATCAAACACGAAACCGCAGCGGGTTAGATTGCAATCTAGCACATCCCGAAAGCAGCTAGAAGCTTCCTGACAACATGGTTGTTCCAAAAACAGAGGTCTCCCAATACCCCAGATTCTGACATCATGAGGATCCCAAGAAATGAGGCCTTAATGTATAAACCCCTGTGGCAGTCCACATGCGTGGCTGCATGTGGATCTCAGCTCAGGCTATCCGCCTGAGGTGCGCTTAGTGCACCAGGCGAGAGTCTCTCAAAACAAGACAGGTGAGTTTGTTCCACTTCTGAAGTGTCCAAACGTAAGCACCGCATATTTACAAGCCAAATACAGAGCTCCCCTGAGAAGACGGGGAAGTGGGATCTAGATAGGGAGCGGACTTATAGCCCCCTTATACAGATAGAATATGGGGTATATGGGGATCTTATTATACTATATCCCGAACACAGAAGTCTATCTACTTAAGGGGGACAATATCATCACAACCCCACGATTCATCTATTGGGGCTGTTCTGATGCTTTGGGAGACGTAGGCTTTGTTGATTATGGATTTACGGTTTAGGGGTTGAGGGTTTTAGGGTTTCAGGGTTTAGGGTTTTAGGGTTGAGGGTTTAGGGTTTTAGGGTGTAGGGTTTAGTTGAGGTTTCCCATACATACCCCCAGCCTTGTGGATGTTGCGTACGTGGACGATTCAGACCCTAAGAGATTGACAATGTGAACCCCAAAATCCGAAAGCTAGCACACTCTTGTTCGTTGAATGCAACTCCCCTGCTTGCAAGGACCTCGGGCCATAAAATGGTTGGAACAACCTCTTACAGGCTCAGAAATGTTTTAAGAAGTACCGGCATTCAAAGTACCCATACCTCAAGCGCTGCACCTGAGGTCTCAAGGTAACACACGCAATGTGAGAATTCGGACTAGGGGCTTTGGGGTTTGGGGCTCAGGTAGACACAACTCATGGCAGTAGTGTGAGCTTTTTAGCAAGTTGGGGGTCTGCGATGAAAACGAAATCATGGTCGCGAAAACCAGCGATGTCTGGCTGTGACATGCGTAGCCTTGTTGGTATCGCATGCTATAATGGGAGGGGTCCAAAGAGGGATCATAGTTCTGAAATTTCACAACTAAACCACCTCCACCTTAAACCCTGGAGGCGCACTTCAACGCGTTCGTGCCGCCAGCGTCGGTAGATTGGATGGCCCACGAGTGGCAGCCGAGTAACTTTGTTCGGCATTTCGCAGGCTGCCCATGGCAGGAGCAACCATGCCTGCAGATGATGATGGATCCTTGGATGAATATCAGCCCAATCAATGAGCAATGCATACTCAAATGGTAAAGAAAATGGAAAAGGAAGCGGAAAATGCTATTTGGGCTTTAGGCTTCAGGGCTTAGGGATAACGATCAGCGTTCATTATGTGAGGGATCTGAGCAAGTTTAGGGCTGGGGTTGCTCTTCATAATAGGGTTGGACGATTTCGTTTTTAAGCAAAAGGGCTTAGGGTTCTAGCGTAGGATAGAAGGGGGAAGAGCGCTCAAAGTTTACCCCGCCTAGACGAAACCTGAACCAAGGAATGCAGAGACAGGGCCCGCTTTCTTACCCGCAGATGGGGAATTCCATAAATAAGGTACCGCAAGACAGACCTCAATATATCAGAATGCTGTATAAAAGTGTCTCCTGAAAGGGGGCCCCTTATCTTTGGAAACTTTCAGAAGGGAACTTGCTGTAGTAGCCAGGTTCCCACCTGGGAGTCCTCCAGCGTGCAAGCTCAGACATGACGAGAAGCACCTTCTATAATCCCTGTAGAACCTACATAAAAGGGGGTTTGCCAAAACTACGGGTACCTGTATGGGGCTCCCTATTATAAGTACTATACTATTTGGGGGTCCATATTGGGGTTCCCCCTGTTTCTGGGAATTACCGTATGACTCCCCTAGTGCCGAGTAAGTACGTCAAGGTCTCCTGCAATGTGGCCTTTCTTGGATTTTTAGGATTAAGGGTTAAAGGGTTTTAGGGTTAAAGGGTTAAAGGGTTAAAGGGTTTAGGGTTAAAGGGTCTTAGGGTCAAAGGGTTTAGGGTTAAAGGGTTTTAGGGTCAAAGGGTTTAGGGTTAACGGGTTTAGGGTGTACAGGCCCAAATAGGGGCCGCTTCCAGCTGTCATGCTGATGTTAAAGATCTTGCATGACGTCAGTTTACCGTAATACCATAATTCCCAAGATATGAGGTACGTGGAGTCCTGTGGGATTTTGAATGTGCCCGGTAGCTTCTGGGCCAAGCAAAAAACAGCAGTGCCCCGTGAGGCTGCAGGGCCTTGAGGTCTCACTGCTTCAGAGATTTGGCTTGGCTATAAGCTTCGGAGGGTCTTGTGGTGCTGCGTAAGAATCCATGACGCTATTCTTACACAAGCCTAGTAGATAAGCTAAAAACTTAGGAACGTTCATGCGTTCATGATGAGATCCAATTTTTTGGACCTTGAGGAGACTGCTGAGATGGCTGCGCTGCCACTGATTCAGCAGCAAGAGTTATGGAGAAGGAGCACCCGACCCCCGAGGTGAAGATATATGGCGGTTTTATGGGGTTAGGGGTGACGCGTATGTTATGGTGCAGTGGGTCATAAGGAAGTATTTGGGATTCAGGAGAGTTTGAGGAAACTCCTGGCCACAAAGTACAAATTCCTGCTTACCAGGCCTTAAAGCAAGTTTATAAGGCCCAGGACATGTGGTGGGGATTGGTTCATGGCTGAGAGTGCTTTTGCCTGTGAAGATTACAGAAACCGTCCTCAAGGATGCCATTAGGGTGTGGAGTTTTGCAAAAAGGGTTTAGGGCTTAGGGGCGATCGGAGTATCTTATGAGGATCAGGCCACACTGAGGCAACAGCCACTTAATGTACCCAGAAGTACCTGTTCAGGGTAGTGTTAGGGGGCAGCACAACAGTAAGAAAGCTCTGCTTATAGTAAGTCAGATCCATGGTTTCAAAGTTATATATGGGGTTTATATAGGGATAATGGAGACGAAAATGGGAACTACAGGGGTACAGGGATCATACAGGGATTTGGGGGGCATATTGGTTTTGGTGAGGTGGGAGGTCTAAGATTTAAGTAGCGTTAAGCTTTCAATCTTGAGCACATTGCCGCGATTACCCTCCTGCCCCAGATGACTTTGACACACCGCATTTTCAGCGTTGGGTACGGACTGGGGTGTAGTTGCAGGATGAGCGAAAGGTTAAGATTTACGTTTGCTAAGGGCCTTCTTTTCTGGGGCTATATTGGGATAATGGAAACATTGTAATAATACAGCGGTATGCAAGGACCATGGAAGAAATGGAATGATATTTAGGGCTTAGGAAGCAAACTTCATAGGTGTGTTGTCTCGTGGGGAGGAAGAAGGAGGTGGATTTGGCAGTTTCCTGAAATAGGGGGACCCCAACATAGACCCCAATATATTATAATCCTTGATACAGGGACCCCCAAACAGGTACCCCCCAATTTTGGGAAACACCCATTGGCTTCGCTCCAGTGCTGGGACGCGAGAATCAAAAAGCCCGTCACAGCACCTGGCCTGTTGCTTCAGTGACTCCATTTTCGAAACCGCGCCGACCACTCAAGATGAATGGCCCCATCAGGTACGTTGTACACCATGGCACCTGTGTTGGATTTTAAGATGCAAGAATGGGACCTTCACCTTGCAAGTTTGAAGTCTCCGCGTGTTCACCCACCAATGGTCGCCTTGGGCATTTGAAGGTTCACATGTCTGGAGGTACGTGAGGCAACGGGCTCCTTTTATGGTACAAGCTCTGCACTGCTTCTTGGGCTCTGCAGGGACTTCAAGGAGGTTAGACTCGGTAAGGATGGTCTCAAAACAAGGCACTTCTCTTATTCAAGCCCCTATCTGAATGCATGTAGGATATGCGTAGGTCTACCCTAATTCGCTCTAGGAGATCAAGAAGGGCTCATGCGTAGTCTTGCTGATCCTTGCACAAGTAGCAATCCTCAAACCTTCCTTTCCTAGCTCAGAAGCTTGTGGCGCCCATGTGCACGCTTCCCTAAGCCATCATTGAACTAAAAAGAAGCCCCTTTGCAGACTATACACCCTTTCGAAAGTGCTTCCTTGCTTGTTTAGATGAGGATACTAGAAACTTGCAAGGTAGATTCCAAATGGCCTCCAGACATGAAAGACAGACTTTTTACGAAACCCTGGCTTCCCGTTTCGTTCCCCTTCGGTCCTTCTTAGGTGGCTTCGTCTGGAGATTTGAAGCCAGGGCTCTCCTCCAAGATACCCCAGGCAGCCGGCACTATGCAACCATATCATGGTAGCTTTAGGGCTTAGGGTTAATAATGTTTAGGGTTTAGGGTTTAGGGTTAATAAGTTCCCCAGGTCCTGAATGAGAATCTCCGCGACCCACATGGGGAGTTCCTTTGCAAATATAGTCGAGGTCGTTGCTAAACTTGGGTTCCCGAGGTCAGTTCCCTCTCGGGGGAAACAATAGTGGGGTAATATTAGGGTTATATCGGGGCTATATTAGGGTCATGTTAGGGTTATATTAGGTTTATATTGGGATAATCGAAAAGAAAAACAAAACTACTACTTAGCGTCTAGGGTTTAGAGAAACTCTCCCAGATGAGAAGCCGAAGAAGGTCTGGATTGATGGCGCTACTTCCGAGAGGATCGGTTCGCCAGGGGACCCAGCGCACGAAGCCGCGACAATAAGGATTTGGAAAGATCACATGGTATAGGGTTTTAGAGTTCTGACACCCTAACCTAAGCCCCAAACCTTGCACAAAATATAACCCCAATGTAACCCTGATATAACACCAGTATATCCCTAATGTTACCGCAGTATTGTTTCCCCCATAAAGAAGTAGAGGTAGAGGATGACTACGATGGCGGTATTTACAGGCTCTCATAGCGCGTGGGCAGTATCCAAGTTATTGCAACAGCTTTTCAAACAATGTTAAAGATGTGGTGGCCTAAAAACTGCTCCGCCAGGAACCTTGAGATTTTCTACATAAGTGGTTGGATGCAAATATGATAAAAACGTATTTAAGGCTGATATGAAGGGAGGTTTTGGTAGTGGATGGAAGCGATAGCCATTATCGAGATTGTAGCAACTATGAGCATGTAGGCAGTGCAAAGGCAACAGTGGCAATGTTAATCAAGAGGCAAGAGCTCGTTTGGGATCGTAAGCAGGTGCGGTGGTCAAGAATCCCTATGGGACCCCTGCACCTTACGACTCTTCCCTCCTCAAGCATCGACGTCTTGCATCTTCATAGGGTTTAGTGTCTGGAGTCTTTTTGAGGGTTTAGGGCCTAGTGTGGTTTTTTTCTCAAAGATTAGACCCAGAGTGCGTGTGCAACAGGTTAACTTGTCAAGATCTGATCACAAAACGTCAGGTAGGCAAACTCAGTCAGGCTTACCTTGAAGGTATGCCGTTGGACTGTCAATCTTCGCGCTTAGACTCTCTTGTTCTTGAAAATTCTGACAGTTCACGAAAAGCGGTGATAACCACATACGAAACAAGATGAAAATATGAAAACCGCAGATGTTGAACCTTCAACTGTCAAACCCACGTCAGGGTTTGTAGTAGGCACCCAGGAATATCCCTGATTTTCAGAGCTCACAACCTCCAAGATTCCTGAATCTTTTTGACTGGGTTGCCTTGCAGGATTTTAAGGAACGTAAATTAACTCACAATAATAAGGAAACCCCAGTATTTACCACATATTCACAATCTGGAACTTAGTTTAAGTTCCTTACAAGCAACACAATTGTAGGTATAGGTGGGGATGGATGGATGGGTGGGTGGGCGGATAAAGTTTAGGGTTCAGGGTTTAAGGTTCAGGGTCTAGGGCCTCAGAGAAAGGTTTCGCACAAGGCTGCTCACCCATTCTCTCGGTGACCCGTGTCCCTCTGCGAAGAGATCCTAAACCCTAAACACCCTAAACCCTAAACCCTGCTCCGGGGTGGGGTATGTTCACCAAAACGGTTGTGGATCCCCGAAGGGCTCGCAGCCACAACCATGGACCAGCACACAAAGGTTCCCAGGTTTCTCCACAAAAATCTGAATTCCCAGACAAAACTGGGCCCAGTTTCCCTGGGCCCTAAACTACGATGCTGTTCCAGAACATATATTAGATTACCAATCAGAGGGAGCCGTGTCATGTGGTACGTTATTTTAAGTTCCTTTACAGCCTATATAGTCCCACACCAGTTTCCATTGTACTTTCCATGTAATTCTCCAGCATTGACAATGTCCCGCAACCCTAAATGATCCCCCTAGAACCCCTATAAAACTAGGCAATGTAAAGCAACCTCACCCGACCTCACCCTAAATGGTGCTTT